GTTTTGAGTTATTTATAGAAATCAGTTTTAAGTTATAAAACCGATTTATATGATAAAAAAAACCCTATTACTCATGAATAATAATTAAAAATAAAAGCGACGATTCGATACTTATATATATATAACAATAAATGAATAATACGGTTTTTTTTTCTCATACTATAAGTTTAAAAAATGATAAATATATTTGAAATAAAAAAAGTTGTCAATATTAGTTTATCCTACTTTAAATTCGCCATGAATAATTTTTATTGAATGTTGTATTGTGCCTCAATTTTATTCAATTCATATCACTTATTTACGGTCTATGATTTTAGGAACTATATATGTCGGAGTTGTAGATTGCTTTTTACTCAAAAACATGGTTCGAGGCGCTAAGCATCGAATGCTTGCATGAACTTTACGTGGATCTGATTCTGCATAGCTTTTCCCATTTGCATGCTTACATGCATACATATATGTAAAGCAAACAAAAATAAAAATAAGCCTAATTAAAATCTCGCTTCAAAACAAAGTTTGTTGAAAAAAGTTTTTAATGAATACATTAACCAAGCCAAAATACCTGGAATTTAATTTGTTTTTGTTCTTTTAATATTAAGATTGGAGCTATCGCATAATTATTGGAAATTAATTAAGTTAAATATAATTTGTGATAATTTACTTATATTTTGCTATAAAATTATTTGCACTACGTGAATAAGCTTCGTTATATTTATCAGATTCTTTTATCAGATTCACCGACATAATCCAAATTTATTATAAGCAATACCAAATATATATAGCTTTCTCCTTTTAAATTAACTGATTGTTTTCAACTCTTTCCGCACTGCATTAACGTGTGGTTTATTTTTATTTTTAGAACACTTTGTAACCCTTTTTTTAAATTTTATTCTGTTTTTTAATTCGAACAATTATCACTTCTCACTCACATTAATTTTTGCATAAATAATTATTCTTACATTTTCGGGTTTATTTTTCCAAAAAACTTTGTTTTGTTTATTTTGAGATTTTATTCGATTTTGATGTGATTTTTATTTGAGTTTAAATCGCGCAAAAGCTTCTGTATCAATCGCGACTGCAATCATCCACATAAATATGTATTCATGAGTTGCAGGTAAGTGTGCGAAAAAAATAAGATTCAGGCAGCTCTCTCAGCATTTGCCGCGGACCGAATTACTGATAGCGACTTCATGCACCTGTTGAATAACACCAACTGAAATATCTGATTAGCAGGCGAAGCTTCAATGGAAACCGGAAATCAGAAATACACCGAAATCACAGAGTCGTTTCGCAACATCGTCTATATAACAAAAAAAAAAAAAAAAAAAAAAAAAAAACGCGAGCGACAAAACCGAGCGAAGCCAGAGAGAGCACGTCCAACCTATTAGAGCTAATATATAGCGAGAAATAAGCTTCGAAAGCGTTACAGGGCGCCATAGGCTACAAGGTTCTTGTAGCTTATAGCTTTTGTGGGGGCTAAGCTTGTGCTATTTTTTGGTGCAAAAGCTCTCGCTTCCATGAACCTATTTAGTTGCAGCAGCTCCGCCAGGGTAGCTGGAAGAGATATACTCTGCATATTCAACTGCAGCAAGCTTGACTGGTCGCCTTATGTTGCACTCTCGAATATAGGTTTGATGTAGTAAGCTTTTGAAAAGCAAATGTTTCAGAATAGTATAAAATCTCTAAATAAAAATCATAAATTTTGAAGAAACTCCCAGCATAAGTCTAATCTAATTCGCAATTACATACTAAAATTTCAACTTATATTATTTCTTTGAACGAAAACAACTCGCCCTATAATGAATGTGAACTTTCAGTTTAAAAAGGATCATTCATTTGAGAAGCGGCGAGCTGAGGGCGACAAGATACGCCGAAAGTATCCAGACCGCGTGCCCGTTATCGTGGAGAAGGCACCGAAGACCCGCCATGCCGCCTTGGACAAGAAAAAGTATTTGGTGCCCAATGATCTGACAGTGGGACAATTCTATTTTCTAATACGCAAACGCATTAACCTGCGTCCGGATGACGCCCTCTTCTTCTTCGTCAACAATGTCATACCACCCACATCCGCCTCCATGGGGCTGCTGTACCATGAGCACCGCGATAAAGACTTTTTCTTGTATATGGCTTACTCCGATGAGAATGTCTACGGCCAGGAGCAGTTATAGATGCAGTTCATCCATACTCAAACGTTGTCTGGTTTATTAACACAAATTGCTGTCCATCAATAAAATTATTTTGAGTTTTAATACATATTTTACACAAGGATCTACTCGGAAGGTGGGACAAACAAAGAGATTAATGACGTAAATGCGTGTAGATATATCAAGAAACAAAAGTGCTGTAATAACAGTAATGTTATGATAATTCTTACATTAATTTACATAAGGCTTCTCAGCCTTTTAATCCAATTTACACTGTTAAAAATAGCAAATGTAAACTGGTAAATGCAAAACAAAATTCGATGTAAATTTAATTAACAGTATAGCGTCAATCTGAAAATTACATTTGTTAGTTAAATGCCATTGTTAATTTAGTTGTCTACGAACTGAACGAGCGACTCAGCGAGGGGTATTTGCTATAGATCAACCTAGATTACATTACCATTTTTAGCACCTATATATACTTATATTTTTATATACGCGTATCACAAGTAGAGTACCTCAATCAAAATTATTTATTTTATACAACTTTGTTAACATTTATTGCAAGTCGTAAACAATAATAAAGTTCATTTAAAATTTTATTTAAAATTTATATTTGATTTAAAAAGCTATCTTGGCAAATGCAGCCGTTACAATTTATATAGATAAGAGAGAAGCATTTCATTTCATAATAACTTCACAACTTCACATGTAGGATATAATTCTAAAGATTCAGAAAATTTGTTCCCTATGTACGCCATGCGTTAAGGTTAACTGAAGGAAGTTTCGGATCATCGCAACGTACTATCGTATTTCTGCAAAAATATGGAAGAGAAATGCATAGTAGGAGTTGTAACTTCAATTATTTTATCAAATTACCCAGGAAAGTCAGCGCGTACGAATCCGTCTAGTGGCACAGAATGCAATGTCAAGTGATCGGCATTATCGCACAACAAGCGGCTAATACTAGCCTTACGCACCTCCTGAAGTTGTGCTGGATTAAACGCTCCTGGATTGACCTTATTATCATATTCGTAAAAGTACCGATCTCCATGCTTAAAGCGTGCAAACTGATCGGCAATAATTTCAGCAAAAGTTATTCCAACAATACCATCTTCAACCGCTCTTTCTAATAGACCGCCCACCCATAAATCAATATCATCAGGCGTTCTATAGACGCGCGACAGTTTTTCCCCAACCTTTAAAGACGAAAAACTTTAAAGGGCATTTCAATTAATATATAAAGTCAAATAGTACGTACATCTCTTGGAAATTTATCAAAACTTGTTAGTTTTGGTGCTCCCATCACTTGGAGGTAGTCATTATAGCACCGTATACCTTGATCGCGACCTCGCTGAATATTAATGGCTGCCAAATCCAAGCCAAACGGACTGTGCCCACGGAATAGAAATCTACTGATCTACAGTGTAAAGGCATGTACAAAAATAGCGCAATTATTAGTTTTCAAGTACTTACACAAAAATAGCGTAATTATTAGTTTTCAAGTACTTACACCGTGAGTAATGGAACTGTCGACTTCTTGCATTGGCTGCGTGTAAAGTGTTTGCAGCATATCGTCGTAGAACTCACGCTTACGCATACGCGAAGGATTGAACATAACATCAGGAATATTTATAACTTCATCATGTATATGAAATTTGCCAACAACACTAAATAAATCAAGGCATACAAGTTGTAAAGCATATCTCAGATAATGCAAATGATTTGCATTACTTGCCTAGAATGACCCATTCGGAATGCAGCTCCCGAAAATTCATTAGTAATAGCTGGATTCACATCAATGTTGTATTCGTTTGAGTATCCCTTCTCGCGAGGTGTTAAACGGAATCGCTTCACTTGCTGGGGACCAATTAATGCCGGGAGGAACTCATTGTAGGTAATGTGCTGTATCTCTGCAATCACAATTCGGCGAGTCTCCTGATAGAGCCATTCATCACTTGCCGATGGGTTCAACTCAGCTAAGATGCTGGCGATTCGATTATGCTCCCTTGCAAAGACAATGTGCAAAGTGATCAGAGAGATAATTTGATTTGTGCGGCCATCACCTGTAAGGGGCATATTGATAAAGTCTTTGATTGGTACAGGTAAAGATCGAATACTACTCACCCGACTTAAAGCATGTACTGCCCGGTTCCTCACTGCCGCAGGCACTCTTATCGCGCGTTAAGGGCAGCATGTCACGACCAAAATCATTAAACATTTGCAATCGACCGCCACGGAAGGTGCGCAGCTCACGGGCCGACTCCTCGTTGGAGCCATATATTGGAGACGCATCCAGGAAGTGGGTTACCTTATTGCGTTGCTTTCCATAGCTCAACTGACAGTCGGCACTGGGTACCAATGAAAGTCTCACCAAGTTCAAGCACCGCACGCCAAAAGCGCTATAAAACTCATCGTTTGCAGAGACAGGAATCGGCAGGCAGGCAAAGTGTGATTTTTCTGGTGGCAAAATGCTTTTCCCATCCGGAGAGCAACATTGCACTAAGCCCCCGTTCTCATCGAGACGCACTGAAGCCGATTGGGAGACATCATGCGCCAATAGCTGCGCGAACTGCATGATCAGCAGATTATACTTTGGATGCGGACGATGAACATCAGCAAACAGAGTTCTCGAGATGTCACGGGCGCTTAGCAATGGAGTCCCATCTTTAGAGTGTGCGCGTGGAGTCCAAATCCCGTCTTCATAGGCTGGTGGAAGCAGGCGCTCCATTGGCTGACCAGCAGCGCCCCAATGCAAGCGGTGAGACAGCGGATTGTTACATGTGCCATCCATAGTTCGATATTTAAGTGTACCTCGGCAAACAGGCATTGATTGACAATGCTGGGCTAATGGAGTCTTGGAAAACTCTACGGGCACATTATTGGTAATAAGATCCTCTATGGGTACCTGCTCCTTCTTGCCAAACACTTGGCTAGCGATGACCAATTCGAACGCACTGTTCGACAGTGCAAAATTATGGAAGTCATCTTTAGGTGACGAGTGAAACATAATTCCATGAGTGAAATCAGGATGCCCTCGATTCACTGGCATCTGCGCCACGCCATGCATGAGATGTTTAAAGTTTTTGCGTGCATCTTCGATCACATCGGGTGGCAAGAACGTTTGAAAAACGGCTCGTGCTCTTTTATGCCCGGCTGTGTGATTTTGCCCGGTATTGCAGCAATAACCAAATTTTCCAGCAGGAAGGTCACAAATTTGCGGCTTCTCATGGTCCGCCATACGTACATGAGCAGGGCATTGGATTTGTGGCACACATGGTACAGATTTGCAACTTTTGCACATTTTTAATAACCCTGTTTTAGGAGCTTCTACAATAAAAAGTAAAGTAATTTCCAGCAAATTAAAAATGCGTCTATCTCGGCTAAATGCGTTATATCCAATACGATAGAGTGAGATAGCCATAATACAAATTCTAGTTGTAAAGAGTCCATTTTGAGATACACACACAAGGAGAAAAGCTTATCTAATTACCGATCTTACCTAAATCTTCCTTGTCGTCTTCCCCATCAATCAAATCATTTTTCCGTAATGAAAATGCGCTCACATATTTAAATTCGAATTGCACATATAATACATGCCACCATATCAATAGAATATAAATTATACGCATTTCACAAAATTTAAATACTTAATTGCATGGATCAGAAACAAAGTCCATTTAACAAATAACGGTGCTTCTTACATGCAATGTGACCAGCTGCAATAAAATTAAAAAATACTTGTTAAACATACCTACAAAATACTGTAAGAACCCAAGTATTTTGCAATTATAGACCAACATATTTATTGTAATTCTCTTTATATATTTATAAGTAGTTGCAGGAATTTATAATATTTAAAAGTGCAGTAATTTGTATTCAAAGCATAATACGATTAATATTTTATACATTTATATTCATCGATATTACTAGGTTTCGATAGTTACCACATCAACTCTTCAAGCTATCTAAACTAGAAAATCAGAATATCGATACTATCGACTAATGAAAATTTTTAATGTACTATCCGCCATATTTGTTCGCGTCAGTAAAAATATCTGGCAACGCTAAAAATCGCTTTGTATAAGGCCAGCTCGTCGTCATGCTGAGAAATAATGAAAAATAAGTAAAATACACTGGATAAAGAGGATAAAGTGTATAGATTATGTGCAGAATTCGTTGACCTAATACCCGAGTGTGAATTTACCAAATACCAGGTGTTTTTTCTTGTGCACTACAGTAATGAATGATTTTTCTCGGCCGACAAGACTCGCATACAATTTAATGTTCGTACTCGTACCGAGCTTGTCTTTTCACGCGAGTTCGTTTCTAGTGTATATAGCCAGTCTATGGACGGTCGATGCGTGAATATATTTCTATGTGTAAGTGTGGGTGTGTGCTATGTGCATGTGTTTCGATTAGTTCAGAGAAAAACCTAAATCACCAATAATTTACCGGACTCGTTCTGCCAACGAGTGAAAAGTACAAGCCTGCTACGTAAAAATCAAATATGTACATACATGCAGGCTCAAAGTTCGGTACGGTACAGATACATGTGTGTGTATACATAAAATATGAATTTGTCGAGACACATCCTTGCATCATCATTAGCAAAGGGTCAAGCTAACACCAATATGCGTGAATCTCAGCCAACCAGCCAAAGGCACTAAAAACCAAAATGATAATCACTCGAAAAATTTAAATGAAAAAAAAAAGTCTTTAATGAAGCATAAACGAGACGACGAGAACGACAAACGTCAGCAATCACGAGCAGAACAATTACAACTGTTTCCCACTCTAAAAGGACTATCAAATGAAAAATGATTTAACTTAAATTATAAGTTGACAGTGGCAATTTTTGTAAAGAAATAAGAATAACCAACAAAATAAAAAATAGCCAAAAACAAATTGTAAAAACGCGATAGCCAAACTCGTTTTACTCTCACACTCGGCATTAAAATATGTATGTAACACTAGTGGTCTCGCTCTCGCTCACCTTTTTGCAATACAAAAAAGGCCGCATACAATACAAGCGAGATAAATAGAAGTCTGAACACAGAAAATCTGTGGGAGCGCGCAAAAAATCGTAAAGCATATTAAACAAAAAGAAATCAACTGCAAGTGGAATTATAAAACTGTATAAAAGAAATAATGCAAATGTTGCAAGCAGCTTGTTATGTTCTGTTTCGGAATGAGCTTGCTTCACTTGACTGACCGTCTTATATGAAGACAAATTATTGCATTGTATCAGATGATAGTAGGCGCCAGTTAGCGGCCTAGAATAATAAAATTGGTCTATTGTTTTACTTATTCTAAAGATAAACACCCAGCAATTGGATTTTCAATTTGAACGACTGACTGCACGAATCGATTTCGGAATAGTTGAACTCGTGAAAAAAAAAAAAAGAAAACCCAGGCATTGAATGTCGAGTTTGGAAATAATTTTAAATTGAAACTGCTTTAAGCAATCAGTATTTAATTAGGCACACAATTTAATATACTTAAATACATTTCAAGTACTGCAAATAATACATAAAAACATTTACCGGCTTATTTTAGCAGATATTTAAGCAATTTCTTAGACTTGATTTATATGTTTAATAACATAAAACAGCATGTTGTTCGTTTAGACGAAGACTGTAATTGAAAACTGTTCCAATAATCTAAAGCCAACGTATAAAATATAATTAATGAATTATTTATTTCCCCTATTAAACAAAAACTAATACAGACAGTCCATAGGCGCACATGTAAGTGCGACAGTGAGAGCCACACTCTGATGCAAGTGAGATGGCGTTTGCGTGTTTAGTTGCCAAATGTAAAGAGCGCGCGAGAGAGAATTGAAAATTGAGAGAGAAAGAGAGAGAGAGAGAGCGCGCTCTGCGGCTGTAGCTGTGGCTGTGGCTGTCAACGCGCGACAATTTGTAAACGGACAGTCAGAATGCCGTGGTAGTGGTAGCTGATTTTTCGATACACAGAATGAGAAGTTACAGAATCTTTGGCGGCTAAATGAAATGCGTATTGGCCAGTTACTGTCTTCTGGTGTTGGTAGTGTGTTCCTTGGTGCTGAATTTATTGTGGGGGTTTTGAGTTAAGTAGACTAACGAATGCTTTTCCAAATTGCAGCTAACATAACCTCAAACTTGCCGCTGCAGTCGGGGAAGTCGTCGTCATCAGCGTCAGCGTTGTTGGTGGATATTCCACAGCCACAGGCAGAGTTCTTGATTCGATAAGCATCGCCAGCGCAACGAGGACGCAATGAATGAGAAAATCAAATCGCCCTCAACCCAGGCGAGTGGTGGTGCAGCTGGTGGAAATGTGACCCCAGCGGTGGCAGCCACCACAGGTGGCGCCACACCGCCCACATCGGGTCCGCCCACACCTAATAACGGCAACGATCCTATTATACAACAAGGTGGCACTGTACCACATCCCTATGGCGGCCCGCCTCCTGGCGCCGTGCCCGGCGTAGCTCCCGATTCGGCTGCAGCTATGTCGCACTATCATCACTTACATCAACAACAACAACAACAACAACAGCAGCCGCAGCCACAGGGTCCACCGCTACCACCACACATGCAACACCATGGTGGACCACCGCCACCACAGGGACCACTACCGCTGCCGCTGGAGCATACGTCCGGTGTGAAGGATGAATACGGCTCGGCACATTTGCCGCCGCCACCAGGCGTTCAACACCCGCATGCTCATCCCGCTTACGCGCGCTACCACTCGGCTGATCCCAACGTAGATCCCTACCGCTACGGTCATGCGCCGCCGCAGCAGCCACCGCCAGGCAGCAAGCCGCCTCACCAGCAGCAGCAGTCGCAGGGCGGTACTGGGGGATCTCCGAATCGGCCCCCGCAACAGCGCTACATACCCGGACAGCCGCCGCAGGGTCCAACACCAACACTAAACTCATTGCTGCAATCATCAAATCCTCCCCCACCACCCCAGCATCGCTATGCGAACAACTATGAGACACAACAAGTAGCCAACGCGGCAGCAGCCGCTGCCGCTGCCGCAGCACAACAGCAGCATCAGCAGAGCACTCAACAGCCTGGCGGACCGCCGCCCCCGTTGCCGGGCCATGGACCGCCGCCGCCACAGCACCAGCAATACGGAGCGCAACAGGGCGGTTGGGCACCACCCCCAAGACCCTACAGTCCACAGTTGGGCCCATCGCAGCAGTATAGGACACCTCCGCCGGTAAGTGCAACTGCTTTCAGTCTAAAGAGTGCCGTGACAAGCAAGGAGGGTTCAATCAGGTGACTCCAGACATACTGACACAAATAACAGATGAAAAGTACGAGCAAAGAACCAATTTTTAAGAACCTGCCTGGGCGGCCGGAAAACAATAACAAACAACAACAACAACAGACCATGAAGAGGCAACGAAAAAACAGTGTGGTGTTGGCAAGAGAATTTGCCGGCAGTTGCCACCACCACCACCTGACGAAGCAAGCAGAAGCAGAAGGAAGAGACGCGCGGCCTGCTCGCTTGAATCTGCTTATTCATACACACACACGCATACATACTTACTTAAATGTTTGTGTCTGGTTCCGTGTGCGTGTGTGTGTGCTTGAGCTACTGTTTCACGTTTTGTTTATTTTTGTTTTCGCTTCTGGCGTTGCAATTCGTGAATGGTAATTTGAAAGTATTCACTTAAGTAACAGTAAAATTATATCTGGACTTGGTTAAGAATTCAATTGAGTACAATTTAATTTGTTTAAAAATTAGTTTTGTGACTTCAAGGTAATCCGGGTTAAGGAGCACATTATCACATCACATTTTGAGACAATACGGAATATATTTGAATTTGAATTCATAATATTGATTGCTTCAGGCTATTTTCGTTAACTATTATAATCTGCATTTGTTGCCTCGGTATTTCTTTTAATTGATTATTAGGGCGCTTAAAGTTCAGCCGAATTTGGCCTTCAAAAGGCGTTGCATGATCCTCTACAATTTGCCAATATGCAATCGTTGTTTTTGGATTGATTTTGGGTCCTTTGATGCTGCCACAATTTCTATTAAAAATATTATTAAATAAATAATCTGTAAAGCAATTTGTAAAAGGTTTCAATTTGATTTGATTTTTAGAAAGTATTTGCATTAGTTTTCGAATGCTGCAGTAAATATTACTAAATACAGAATTTTAACATTCGGATATATGCACTAAACAACCAACGTAAAGCTCATACATATATTTTAATTAATTATTTTCAATACATTTCTAACCTCAAAATGCGATACTTTCCGAAAATACTTTCAAAATATTTCGGATTTTTGTATATTCCTATATACAACAACTTCTATTAAGTCGTCTTGCATTTAGCAATATCAATTTAAATATCCACCAACAATAATGCCTGTTTTGGCATAAATCTAAGTTATGAAATTATAAACGCACAATAGAACGTAATTTGTATACCCTGTACTTGTATAGCATCAATATAAGGTATATAGACTCGATTAAAACAAAATAAGTGACAAAAATAATTCTAAATAAAATTTAATAACAATTTTGTTTTTAAGCCGAAATCCGAACATATTTACAATGTACATGGGCAGTTAGATAAATAATTTTTTTAAATGCAGTATCTATAGTCTATAGGTATTGGGTATATAATGGAATTGAAAAGTATATAATTGAAAACAAGAAATAAAAATTCTAAATATTTTTTTTGAAAGATTCATAAAGAATATCAATCAGTTTTATGATTTTATAAATGCAATATCTCATTTTGTCTATAGAGAGAAGGCAAAAGAGCCTTCGCTTCACTAAATTCATTTACTATTTAACTCTGTAAAATATTCGTAATATTGATCGAAAAAAAAGAATATATTCATGTCGATCAATCAAAGAAAATTAACTATTCCCTTAATGCTCAGTTTTGCCATTATGTTTTCCGTTCGGACCGGCTTTCAATCCACCACCGTTCAAATACGGCACAGAGCCGAGTCGAGCCGAGTATTGCAGTTGTAGTTGTTTCGCCTTGCGTTTGCGTTTACCCGCCCCTGTTTTACACAAACGGTTATTTTCTCTGCTTCGCTGTCATTCGTTTGGTCGCCGTCGCGACGTTCGCTCATTCATTATGTCCCTCTGTATGTGTGTGTGTGTTTGTTTGTATGCGTGTACAACACCAACACAACTTGCGACCCTTGCTGCACGCATTTGAGTTCCTCTTCAGCCCTGTTCGTCCGTTTATTCGTTCGTTCGTTCGGCTGGTGTATTTATTTCTGCGTTTAATTTTCATCCATGATGAGTTTTCCCTTTTTAGTTGAGTTGCGCTCACCACACACACACACACACACTCATACACATACATTAATATAGAGGCAAGAGCACATAGACAATGCCCCTTCTCGGTATGCACCAAAACCATCCATTCATGTTTCCTGTCACCCTGGACCAGCCAACAGCGTCGTTGTTGCTGCTGCTTCAGAGACACAAACACTCGAGAGTGCCGCTTATTGGTAGCAGCTCGCATTAGATTTATTGCTATGTCTTACTTGGGTCTGCCATTTGCAACAGGGCTACGACAACTCTGCTGCTTCTTTTGAATTGTTGTTTTGCTGTTGCTGAATACATTTGTTATGGGAGGGTAGGGTGGTAGTGGGAGGGAGATTATATAAGTATATGTATACAATTATTAACGTAAATGAATGTGACAAATTATTTATTTTGTTTTCACAACAGACAAACACTTCCCGAGGTCAATCGCCATATCCGCCAGCTCACAGTCAAAACTCAGGTTCCTATCCAAGTTCGCCACAACAACAACAACAACAACAACAGCAACAGAGCCAACAGCAACAACAACAACAGGCCGCACAACAGCCTGGCGCTCCTGGTGCGCCGGCACCCCCTTCCGGTCCCGCACCGCCACAGCAGCAACAGAGTACACCGCCCACATCTCAATATTCGCCGTACCCGCAAAGGTATCCAACACCCCCAGGCTTACCGACATCTGGGCCCAACCATCGAACTGCCTACACAACACACCAGGTAAATAATAATTTTAAACTATTCTCCTGTATTTAAAAGACAAAAAATCAATTTATGCAAGCAATATAATTACATAAATCCATATGTATGTATATACATATCTGACAGATATTATCTGTCGAATCTCTCATTCTATTCTAAATGCAATTATTTTAATTTGTACTTTTAGTATCCGGAACCAAATCGGCCGTGGCCTGGTGGCTCATCGCCCAGTCCCGGTCCCGGTCATCCGTTGCCGCCTGCCTCGCCGCACCATGCCCCGCTGCAACAGCCGCCGACGCCGCATAGCGCTGGTGGTGGCCCGCCACCCAGTAGTAGTCCTGGCCATGCCCCCAGTCCATCGCCGCAGCCCTCGCAAGCATCGCCATCGCCGCACCAGGTAATTGTTTGGATTATATAAGAGAATCACTAGCACACACCTCCACTCTAATTCGTAATATACAACAATTACTTACATATTTCACTTCGCGTTCCGTGGTTTTGGGCTGAACTGAATTCAGCTCTTGGCTGATACGCGCTATCAATGTTCGGGCCATGACAACAACTTTTATGTTGTCTGATTTTTTGACTCTGTCCATTATTGTACATATTCGGCCGGAGAAGTCGGTATGTGTGTGTGAGTGGTACACTTATTCATTCAGAATGTCCGCAATGGTCGCAGTTGCCGGTGCCGTCGACGTGTCTCATTCCCTTTATGTTGTTGCTGGTGTTGTGTGTGCACATACACATAGATAAAACACGAATACACTCAAGATCTCACAAAGAGCATCTGTTTTCATGTATGTATGTATGCATTTAGGTCAATGCCAAGGTCATTGTTGTTGCTTTCGGGCTGTTTGCTTTTATGTTTCGTACTGACAACGCAGTCGCATTTTACTCACAACAACAACATTTCTAAAGCTTTAAAGAAAAGTGAATGCTTTACGGAATATAAAACGGAAAGGAATGGCAAGAAATCCTGCTGCCATTATATCAAAAGTTTTCTTCACAATATTCATGATCCACTCTGAAACACAACAAAGAAAATCAACCTAAATAATCGCATACACGAAATATTTATTATTTATATTATTATTAATTCTTACACCCGCTACTGACCAATTTATTATCGATGTGTAAGATATTGCGATACTAATAATCAACTACATATGTATGTATATGTATAAAATTAATAGTACCTCAAAATTCTTCTTGCATTAACACCGAAGTAAAATTTAACTTAAAGCAGTGCAAGGCAAAGTGGCACACGCGAGCCCTCACGAGCTTAAACATTTAAGAAATAAAAATCAAAACAAAAAACTAAGAAAAAGCGTGCGCAACACACCCCAAATAACTGATGAATGTTTGCGTTGGGGCTTCAGTGTTTAGTTTTCAGCGCTCGCCGTTCAGCATTTCTAACAGCTCAGCTGTGTCGAGCATGTTTTACCGCTCTTTACTTGGCTCTATTGTGTTAGTATGCGTATGTACTCCATTACATGGAAATACTGCATTGCTTATACTCGCTACAATTAATGACTCTCTTTTGACTATCTTAAATACATATTAAATGAGTACAATGAATTTCAACATACCGTAAATTTGTAAATGCTAGAAACATACTGATATTCGTATCAACATTTACGTTCAGCATTGTTTTGCGATTTCAGATTGCTTAATCTTATCTTCACTTCGGCAATGTATTGTAATAAAAACAAAAATTTTGAATTCAGTTGCATTTTTAGTGTCTTGTGTGCGATTATTGTGTTTCTCTCTGTAGCTGAATTCTGTTTGCTCTTAAAAAAGATGTAAGCAGCAAAAATACTAAATGCACGCAACAATAAAATACTGAATGTATGTATACATGTGTGTACACATACAAAGGCACATACGTACATACATACATACGTACGTTATAAATGATTTCATTGTGCTGTTCCCGAATCATTTGCTTTTTTTTCCAAGTAATTTTCTACATGCCGGCAAGTTTTACGTACACACTCACAACTAAAAACGTGGGCTGCCTTCATCTTGAGGAGCGTTGCCCCATCGCTCATCGTTTTTTAGCATTGCCTTCTGCTGTTGTTGCTGCTGCTGTAGCTGTTGTTGTTGCTGTTCGACCGTCCCCCGTGGTGCCTTTGCTATTCTCGTCATCAACGCCGCCGTCGCCTATGCTACTCAAGTATACTCCTTGCCTGGCCCCATTCCCCCGAGTTCACTGTTCAACCATACACGAAACACTCAACGCTTTTGCTTGCTTGGTCTTCTATGTAGGTACATACATATGTATATGTATGGCACGAAAACAAATGAGCAGAGAAACGAGAGAAGAAACGAATGGCTGGCGCTGTTTTTTCTTTATTTTATTATAGTTTAACACTGAATGTGTGCAGTATACATGTGGCTAAGTGTGTAGCTGTGTGCATATATATGTGTGTGTATGTATATATATGTGTTCACGTTGCTGTTTCTTATCTACGTCTTTGTCATCGTACGTTGGTTCACTCAACGCGCGCCATAACTACCACTGCCACATCTCCAATCCGCGCCCCTCTGAACGCTTTAAGTTGCAGTCTGCGTCGACTTTGTCGTTATTCGTTCGTTCCACATAGCTTTTGCTTTGCCGCTGTTGGTGTTGTTTTTGTTTTGCGCTTTGACTTTGCCATGGCTGTGTGCCCGTCAGTTCGTCGTACATTTCATTTCACTTCACTTAATTTCTCAGATACCCAAACGAACAGCGCCGAACAGAGCAGAATATGCCGTCGTTGGCCACCCATCCCTCACCTCTCGCCATCATCATTTATATCGACAATGTTGATCCCGCGCTGTTCGTTTTACTGTGCGACTCGAATAGCTGTCGGCTTAAGCCCCTGTTATTGGCATGGTCTGCATATATATGAATGCTTGTGTGACTGTGAGTGTGTATTTATTTGTATCTTTGTGTGTCTTGTTTGTGCTCTCTTGGGTTGAGTTTTTTTTTTTTGGTTTTTATTTTGAATTTTTATAGACGAGCAGCAAACTAAAGTCGGCGTAGACTGTTTAGAATCTTAGCTGGAAATTTAGCGTCGCTGTTCGCGTCTATATTGTTTAAGCCGACTTGACTAATTTCAATGAAAACATGTAGCCCCATCATCACTTTTAGATATTTGAACAGTTAAAGTCGCTCTTTATCGCAATATGTTTTGTAGGGGTTGTGTTGAAAACGTTGCGATATTTCAGTTAATTCAGCTGATGTCATCAAACTTGGATTACATTATTTTTATTGCTGGGCTATATGTGTAATAATAGAAATATCACTGATTGATGTCTTGACACTATTTTATATATTTATTACAGGAGCTGATCGGGCAAAATAGCAACGATAGTTCAAGTGGTGGAGCACACAGTGGCATAGGCTCAGGCCCACCCGGCACTCCTAACCCACAGCAAGTAATGAGGCCAACACCATCGCCTACAGGCTCGTCGGGCTCAAGATCCATGTCTCCTGCAGTGGGTATGTATTTGAAAGTTGTAACTAATAAGAGATCCATATTAAATTGATTTGGTTTCAGCACAAAATCATCCAATATCGCGCCCGGCGAGTAATCAGTCAAGTAGTGGTGGTCCAATGCAGCAACCGACCGTGGTTGCTGGCCCACCCCCAATGCCACCACACGGTTTACCAGGTGGGCCACCATCTCAGCAACAATCTCAGCAGCAGCAGGCTTCAAATTCAGCATCTTCAGCGAGTAATTCGCCGCAGCAGACGCCACCACCTGCACCGGCGCCAAACCAAAATGTTAACAATATGGCTACACCACCACCACCACCGCAAGGAGCTACCAGTGGCTATCCTCTCCCGCAACATATACATGGCGGCTACAAAATGAGCTTACCAGGTCAAAGCCCCGGTGCTCAAGGATATCCTCCACAGCAGTATCCTCAAGGTAATCTGAGGGAATTCAAATAGTTTGTTACATTTGTATTCACAAACATATCTATATTTACTAGGTAACTACCCGCCACGTCCCCAGTATCCGTCGGGAGCGTATGGAGCTGGACCACAACCGCCACCAAATAGTCAGTCCGCTGGAGGCGCTAACAGCATGCCATCCGGAGCACAACCTGGATACCCTCGGTCAATGCCAAACCACGGTAGTGGCAGCCCCCATCAGCAGTATCCTCCGTATCAGTGGGTTCCGCCGTCACCACAGCAGTCTGGCCCTGGCAGTGGATCAGTACAAATTTCCGCTGGCATGGGCAATCACGTGCAGGGCAAGGGCACACCACCGCCAGTTGGACCACCACCGCCACAGGGCAGTGGCTCTCCGCGTCCTCTTAACTACCTTAAGCAGCATTTACAACACAAAGGTGGATATGGCGGTAGTCCGGCAGGACCCCAACCCCAGGGCTATGGAAATGGACCAACTGGCATGCATCCGTCAATGCCCATGGGTCCTCCACATCATATGGGTCCGCCGCAAAGTATGGGACCACCTACCAGTACACCGCCGCAGTCTATGATGGGCGCGCAGAGTGGCAGCGACACCGAACATATATCCCAAGACAATGGTATTAGTTCATCCGCGTCATCGCCAGCTGCAGGCTTGCATGCAGTTACTGCAGTAGTTACAACTGGACCGGATGGCACACCAATGGATGAAGTCAGTCAACAGAGTACGCTCTCAAATGCGTCTGCAGGTGGGTAATCTGAATAGGTCTTTTACGTACGTTACTGGATCTCTCTCGTCTTTTAGCATCAGGTGAAGATCCACAGTGTACTACGCCAAAGTCGCGCAAACATGATCCATATAGCCAAAGTCATTTAGCTCCACCCAGCCCCTCGCCACATCCAGTTGTAATGCATGGAGGTGGCGGGCCGACAGGCGAAGAGTACGAAATGAACTCGCCTCCAAACTGGCCCCGTCCAGCCGCTAGCTCAGTAAGCATGAATCAATTACATTTTGAATATTCAATTACATGATTTACTCTCCCATCTATAGCAGGTTTTCAACAGTCATGTTCCTGTTCAACAAGAACCTTTTCGTAGCACTATAACGACTACTAAGAAATCCGATTCGCTTTGCAAGCTGTATGAAATGGATGACAACCCGGATAGGCGCGGTTGGCTAGACAAATTACGTGCTTTCATGGAGGATCGCCGTACACCAATAACGGCTTGCCCGACCATCTCAAAACAGCCACTTGATTTATATAGGTTATATATTTATGTAAAAGAACGTGGCGGATTCGTCGAGGTATGCAAGGTGCCGTAGTAACTCCTTTTACTAACTTCTTTTTAGATTTACTAGCAAAACCAAATCAAACAAACCAAAATTAATGCTCAACCAACCAATCAATCAAACCACCAAACACCACCAACCAAAGTAAAAAATGTAGCTAACACAGTAACAAAAATTTTCAATTCTTTTAACGTGAAACCAACCAAGCTCAACTCGATCATCGATTTTCAAAAATATTTCAATAGCATGACATCCTACCATATTTACCTTTCTGTAAGATCTGGAAAGTACTTGGCGTCTTTCCTACACCATGAAGTTGATTGAATCAGAACTACATGAATTCAAATAATTTTCTCACTTTTGCATGAGTTATTTGATTGCATGCTTTTCAACAACGTTTTCCAAATATCTTTAAAACTGAGTGTCGACATTATACATAATTAATCTCAAGTGTGGTTCCGTTAACAATTTTATTTAAGAGTATTACCTTTCTTCCAGTTTGATTTACATTTTATTACTAACACAGTTGAAAAAATATTGTTGAGAGCGTACTAAAACACGCTTTCAATTGCTCGTCATTTTTATCTTTCTTCTTTACTTATTCATGCCGATTTTTAAGTCTCTACCCAGTCTAGTCTGTTTTCAAATATATATACGCATATTTTCGTTATTGTTGCCAGGTGACCAAGAGCAAGACCTGGAAGGATATTGCCGGTCTGCTCGGAATCGGCGCCAGCAGTAGCGCTGCATACACACTGCGTAAGCACTACACAAAGAATCTGTTGGCATTTGAGTGTCACTTTGATCGTGGCGACATTGATCCATTACCCATAATACAGCAAGTGGAGGCTGGTAGCAAGAAAAAGACAACAAAGGCAGCATCGGTACCATCACCAGGTAAGTGTTTACCAGATATTGCATCATATTATTATGTACAGGACCTGAAGGGTAGTTACTAATTTCTGATGATTTGGGTTTATCGGCTAATCACACTCCTTAGAAGCAAAAGAATAAAGTATCCGCTATTGAGTTAATAAAGTCTATAAAATAAAAGTAAAGTTATAAGTCCAGAACTCACAAGTTTTCCCGATCTGGCACTATAGATCATTTTATGTTAGTCCTTGGGACTACAGTAAGTAATTACACTAACTTTAAAATTTCGTGCCAAGTATGCAAGTACCCCATATAAAATATCTCCTTGAAGAACTTATCTAACAAGGAACAATTTATTTCGTATCTTGTGAGGCTTATAGATATTCAAAAGTCGACGCTCGTTAAAAGACAGTTGTCACAGGATTATCCCCAAATGTCTTGGTTTTTACCGATTCGATTTCTGTCTTGCCCAATTGGATATACCTAATAGGAAGCTTTATACCAATTGTAACTCCTAAGCAAGCATTTTTGAGTTTAACAGAGCATAAGTCAGTCTTAAAAGATTCGCGCGACGATTGAAAATAGTCATATTTGCGCTCATTTTCTGATCATAAAAGTCTGTTTTGTCGGGAAAAAATGGTACCCTAGCCGCGACGAGATCGTTTGTATAAAATTTAACAGAATTAGTACAAAATAGTATGTAACATCTCTGTAGAGGGTTTATCGCAATAGAGAATTGCGGATGATAGAGTTAGCCATAACCTCCATAGACGTAGATATGTTCATTATATATTTTTATACTCATTCACGAAAGTGAAATGAG